ATGCATTAACCCTTTGATGCATGAATTATGAAATCTTCAATCATGATTTTTTAAACAATGTTTTTCATTCGTCTTTAGGTGTGAATGAAACAAATTTCAACAAATATTTTTTGTAAAATTTTATAATTTACTAATAATTTATTACATGTCCACCTCAGTGGACAGCGTGCATTCGGAGCATGAAATATGTTGGCTTGGCTTACTGAAGTCCAAATGGAGGGGCTCAAATGCAATAAAGTCTTCAACAGCTGTGCTTAATAGCAAAAACAAATAAATAACAATTTTGAGTTCCTGCCCACTGTAGTGACCATTATTCATCAAAGGGTTAATATCAATAAACTCATAATAAAGAGTTCATTAATCTGATGTTGTAATGCATTGTTTAAATCAGTACACAAATCCATGCTTTTGAGTTTGTTTCATTGTTTTTATGAGCTAAAATCACTGACACAGAGTTAGCTTGTTAACATGTTGGTCTAGCCTTACCTTATAGCAATGGTTCCCAAAGTTGGGGTTAGGACCCCAGTGTGGGTCACCAAGAACTACACAGAAAACTGGGGTCACATTACTTGACAATTTCTATATTGTGGGTCTGAAGCTGAAAAGGAGAACGGCTACTTTAGAGCTTATAGGTGCAGTGTGTAAGACAAAGTAAGATTTCATTTACAGTGAAATAATCCCAGAGCAGTCTAATGTCTCAATCAAGGTTATACTGAAACAGATTTCATTACCAGCTAGGGGGTTGTCAGTTTTGATCCTTTCAAAATAAAAGAAGGAGGGACGTAGCTACGGTTTACCATCGGTGAATGTGGGATTGCTGTGTCTCCAGCGAGCTAACGTTGCAGAGCTGGCATTTGTAATTCGACAATGCGGCCAACAAAAAGCTACATAGTTGTTTAAAGAACCAAAACCAGTAACAAGACCCTGCTGAAAAAAAGCAGCATAGACCAGCATATGTTGCGTTATTTTACTGGCATGGTGGTTCAGCATCCCATGCTAATCCAGCATGGGGTGATAGAGATTGGTTACTGGACCAGCATGCTAGACCAGCATCCCATCCTGGAGCAGCACTGTATGCTGGTTCACCACCTAAACCTGCACCAAAACACTACATATGCTGGTAACCAGCTATGCTGGTCTATGCAATGTGCCAGTCACAATTAAAATACTTGGTTCTCATTAGCAGTTTTGGCTTGAATTGACTAACTTTTCCACAAGAGAAGTAAATGTACTTAAAGACACAAACAAACAGAATATTTAGCTGAGACTACCATGCCCCGGATGACTGAAAAACGTTACTAGTGTTGTGACATGTAAACTGACACGCCACAAACTTTGCGTTTTACATTATATTAAATTAAAGCTGACACATGACCGACAGGCGCGTGGCTGGCTGCAAAGAGATGCACAAAGACAAGCCCAGATGTTTGGAACAGAAACTACCGAAAGGCTGAATAACATGAATCCTGCCATTCACATTTTACATCCCTCAAGACACCACAATAACGAAATAATTTACCTTAACGATACTGATAAACAAAGGGTAAAGTGACAGTGTGTATTTTCCCTGGTGATAGAGAACAGTACATACCCATATTACTGCAAGCATGCAGGATGTTTGTGTTCGAGTAAAACCTTACCAATGGATGGCCATTAGGGTCAAAAATCCCTGGACACACAACCTCCAGCAAAAGAACAAGCACATCAGACTCCCTTCCATCACTGGCAACCCGTGAAGAGGTAAACGTGTAAAAGAACAACGTTTATGAATGGCAGAAGTTTTATAATTCTTTTTTACAAATCAGTGTTTTGTCTCTCTAAATGAAGAAACAAACTCCCATTTGAATCTTTCTACCACAGAAAACAGCGATCCACTAGCCTGACAAGCCATCCTATAGATTCTAAATAAGGGACTTAAGTACCTCTATCTGCTCTTGACTCAAAGAAAAGCTCAAGTCTGCGTAGTCCAAAGTTGATGCCAGTGCTGTTTCACAAGAGCTGTCAGCTTCTTGTTTTGCTCAATTGCATCATCCCACCCATCAAACAGATAGAGCACTGTGATTGGCCCACCAACCAGAAAGAGCACTGTGATTGGCCCACCAAACAGATTGAGCACTGTGATTGGCCCACCAAACAAATTGAGCACTGTGATTGGCCCACCAAACAGATAGAGAGCTGTGATTGGCCCACCAACCAGACAGAGCGCTCTGATTGGCCCACCAAACAGATAGAGAGCTGTGATTGGCCCACCAAACAGATAGAGCACTGTGATTGGCCCACCAAACAGATAGAGCGCTCTGACTGTCCCACCAAACAGATAGAGCGCTCTGACTGGCCCACCAAACAGATAGAGCGCTCTGATTGGCCCACCAAACAGATAGAGCACTGTGATTGGCCCACCAAACAGATAGAGCGCTCTGACTGGCCCACCAAACAGATAGAGCACTGTGATTGGCCCACCAACCAGATAGAGCGCTCTGACTGGCCCACCAAACAGATTGAGCGCTCTGATTGGCCCACCAAACAGATAGAGCATTGTGATTGGCCCACCAAACAGATAGAGCGCTCTGACTGGCCCACCAAACAGATAGAGCATTGTGATTGGCCCACCAACCAGATAGAGCGCTCTGACTGGCCCACCAAACAGATAGAGCGCTCTGATTGGCCCACCAAACAGATAGAGCACTGTGATTGGCCCACCAACCAGATAGAGAGCTGTGATTGGCCCACCAACCAGATAGAGCGCTCTGACTGGCCCACCAAACAGATAGAGCGCTCTGATTGGCCCACCAAACAGATAGAGCACTGTGATTGGCCCACCAAACAGATAGAGCGCTCTGACTGGCCCACCAAACAGATAGAGCATTGTGATTGGCCCACCAACCAGATAGAGCGCTCTGACTGGCCCACCAAACAGATAGAGCGCTCTGATTGGCCCACCAAACAGATAGAGCACTGTGATTGGCCCACCAACCAGATAGAGAGCTGTGATTGGCCCACCAAACAGATAGAGCGCTCTGACTGGCCCACCAACCGATAGTGCGCTGTGATAGGCATAACACAATACTGGTCAGGCCAATGGTAGGCCTAATGGATTTTAGGTTCCAATAGAACATGGCTAGATCGATGGACTAGATTTCTAGGCCAGTCATCCACCACTCTCTATAAACATCCATCCATGTTGTATACCAGCTTACTCCTGTTCATGGTTGCATGTTTTCCCAATAACATATGATGCAATGTGAGAGTCTCCGCCCCAGAACTTAGAGGTAGAGGTTGGATTAGAGGGAGCAAAGAAACCAGCAGCAGCAGTATAAACATGACAGAGAGCTAAATTCTACAGCTTAAACAAAGATTTTATATCAAACTGATGTTTGACAGGTCAGGTTTTAGAAATATACCATGACTTAGCAGCAGCTTTAAATATTAAGTGTATAACACATCTAAAAGATGCATCATCAGGAAAGCAGCAATTTCCAGTAAAAGGTGACTGATCCCTCTGAGAGTGCAGACGAATGCAAATTCTGCAGAAATAATCTACTTGTTGTCGTTGCATCTATCTTACAGTATTTTAATCACAGTGTGGAATGGATTTTATTGTTCAAAAGAAGTTTTCTACTGTTTATTATAATAAAACAAACAGATTTAGTAGATACATTAAGGGCTGAAGTATAAATAGGAAGTCAAAGCTTTTTGTAGAGCTGATTTTCATGTAGTTAATTTTACATCAACTTATAATAGTGTCAAATGAACCCAGTTTGAACACATACACTCAAGTTGACACAAGCTAAGTTCAAACCAGGCATAAGTAAATTCACATTAGCCAGATTTCAATTGTCATTACACGAATTTGAAATCAATCAAATTAGTTGCATTAAATGACAAATGAAACTGAATTAGATTAAAGCCAGAGAGACATTTTAATAAAACTATTTTAAAGTGCATGTTTAACTGTCTAGCTAATGAATCCAGCAAATTCAATCAATTCTCTTTACTTAGATCAGTTGAATTAAACTGTTTTTTAACCTCCTGGACAGTTGCTGCAGCCTTAAATGCAGCAGTGCATGTCTGTATGAACGCGTGAATGGTGTTTTACATCTGCATCGTCTATTTCCCCTCTGGTGTCAGGGAGAGAGTCCCAGCGTGTTCATAACGCCTCTGGAAAGTAAAGAACCTGCTATGTGACATAACCTGCAGTTTGCTATGATCTACGACCTAAAACAATGGGTTTCAGGTTTAATCAGTGTTTTGCATCAGGTTTATTCTAAATTAGGAGCTACATTTTACAAGCATGAGACTAATTTCAGTGTTTTTGTTAAAATCAGAGGAGTTAAAATGTACAAAAAGGTATTTATGTCAAACTAGACGCATTTAAAAAGAACAACTGAGATTCTTTTGGACACTGAGAGCTCTGCAGAGTGTTGCTGCCTTGCCCTGCTGGCTCAGCAAATTTGACTTTGCATTCTCTGTTTGCTTTATTGACGTCCAACATTCATCTACAAATTTGACACATAAATAATTAACAGTGGTGAAAGCTGAAAATCCTATTTCTACAACATTAAACATCTAATTTAAAAATTATTTAGCTCTGAGTTTTCAGTTTTCGACCATTTAACGTCATTTTTAAAGTGTTTGAATATAATTGTTGTGTTGAATTGTTTTTACTTGTTTGCCTTCACTATTATTATGCAACACTATACTGCAGCATGCGGCTGCGCACCGGGATGCAGGACTTACCGGTAAGCTCTAAAGTTCCACTCTGGCAGAATTAATATCAATGAAAAACTACAGGCATCCAAATTAAAGAGGACCTGCAAAACACAGTCTGCTCTAATTACCCCAGAACCACTCATTCTCTCCGTTTCTCTCTGCAGAGCTTTTTTCTACTTTCAGCTACAGGACAAGCATAATGAGGCTAGGCGCCTCTGTGACAACCGGCCACGCAGCAGAGCCACTGTAAAGGTGTAACAGCGGTGGAAAGAGCACAAAAAGCTGCTTACCTTCTGTAAAGAGGTGCTGCTTCCTCAGCTAGAGGTGAGAACAGAAAACTGGTGTAAAAAATAATCTCAGCAATCTGCTTTCGGGATCATCCCACCCTGGAAAGATGTTGCAAACAAGAAAAGAATAAATGATGACCGCAGTAGTGAGAGGTGCCAGAATCAGCTGGGGAGCTGCTTTCCAAACTGGGTTTCTTAAGGTGCTGCTGATGTGAGCTCAAATGAAGCAGAGAGAACAGGAAACACTCAGGTTGATTAACACTGCTCTAAGGCTGGAATCAGCACCAGCATCAGGACCGCTGGAGTTCCACTGCTGTATTTCCCGGCACTGCTCACTGATTGGCTGAAGAGCTGCTCAATTAAAAAAAACCTGTGTGTCATCAGCTGGATAGGGAGGGGGGGGGGGGGGGGGGGGGGTTCTTTGGCGCACTAACAAATAGGCTCCGCCTCTTTTCTTCCTTTGCACCCCCCCCCCCCCCCCCCACACACACACACACACACACACACACACACACAAACAAGCTGAGGAGTGCTGAGCTTTGAGAATTAGACGCAGGAGGGAAAGGAAGGAGGTGCAGGAGCAGGAGGAATCGATGGGTGATAAGAAAGTAAAGATGGTAACCAGCAGCCTGCAGCGGTCTTCAGCCATCCCAGTCCTCCAGGTTGGTCTGATCCATGCAGGAACCTGAGCACACCAAGGAGCCAGGAGCAGAGGATTTTGCTGCAGTGTTGGGACAAGCAGATGGGAAGTTTATTACTCTGTTTTTGAGCAGGATAAACAAATGACAATGAGTTTCCCTTGCTTGTTTACAGTCAGGACAAAATGTGAAAGTGGTACAGGTCCTTCCTGCAGCACCAATAAAGGAAATTCTTGTAATAGAATCAAAAATATTCCAAAAGTAAAGAGGCCACACAGACTAAACATTTCAACTTCCTGTCATCAAAATCAAAGGCCTCTTCCTTGAAGCTGGAACGATGCACAAGAAGATGCAGGTCCAAGCTTGAGCCTTTTCTCCTGCCATTTTCACAAACCCTAAACAAAAGCACTTCTAAATGTTTTACACGTCAGACAGCCCTCTCTTCCATTAGTGCAGTGACAGCTCATCGCACTGATTTAGAAGAGGAACATTTGTTAATGGAAGGCAACAACAGGACACTGGGTGAGTGCCAGTTTCACCATTATACTTATTAGACGATTTGGGAACATTGCCAAAACTGCAACAAAAGGGTCCTTTTCAGAGATGACCCTCGCTCAGTTGCCTTTGGACTTACCCTTGATGAAGCAGGGACCAGGCAGTCTACGCATCACAAAACCACCACCAGATGAGTCAGAGCGCTGCGTCACATGATCGCGTTTAATCATCCTAACATCTGGCTGCATGTATCTCACTCTGTTTTTATAAAAGCAGTAAAAGTTGAGACAGAAGCCAAATGTTACATTAAACAATGTTAGTCTTTGATTTTTAACATCATTATTAAGGGAAGGACACTAAAGGAATGCATAAAGGTAATTCACTGTTAGGATTAAAGGCTGAGTCTGGGCCCGGAGGAGCCTTTTGGTCTGTTCAAATGAAACTTAAGCTCATGTAAAATGCTGATCTCTGGGTGAATATGCAGCTCACCGCTCCTACAGGGGATGGGTCACCTGCGTGACAACTAACAGGACACGGACTTTAGTTTTGGGCTTTCCTTTGAGATGAGGAGATAGCGGTAGGCTACATAAATCCTTGACTTCAAAAAAGGATGTATTTGATTCTTCTTCGACGGTGACTGCCCCATTGACTGATTTCCGTATTGATGAGTACGTCACTTTGTTCGTTTGCCGATTGGTCCTAGCGCTGTCCAACTGACAGAGTGAAAGGCAACTGCAGACTTCGTTCTATGACTGATCCTTGTCTGTGGCTTGTGGCTGGACTATATACTTATATATAGCAGGGGTATTCCATTCTGGGTTTGGAGGGTCATCCAGTATGCTCTAGTTTTAACCTGCTTCAACACACCTGATTTCAATCAGCAGGTGACTAACAGGCTGCTGCAGAGCCTGGTGAGCTGCTGCACAGGAGATTCAACAATTGTGTGTTGGAGCAGAGAAACAACTAAAATGTGCTGAATACCCCAGATGTGTTGGATAGCCTGGAGGGTTGGGTGAAAGGCACTTCTCTAGATCAGTGCATGGTATGTGTCGGGATTGTTACCTCGTAGAATTACTTCCATGAAGCACAGATGAAAGTTAACTTCAATTCAGACTTTTAGGAAGCTCTCCCTATTTGTTCATCAGTGTTCTTTATTTAGTTTAGCTTTATTGAACAAGGACAGCACAAAGTAAAGTTACAGCCATGCAACTGTTGTATTGTACAGAGGTTTTGTAGCCAGAGGCTAATTTACAAACCTAGTCCTTGGTTGGACTTTGAGACAATCCAATGACAACATTTATAACATATAACACACACACACACACACACACACACAATGTAAATAAATAAGTTTAGGTGACGAGAAACATCGGTGTTCACAAGTTTGTTTTTGTTTCAGTCATTTTTCACCTGGGAATTAAAAGTTGTAAAAAAGTATTAACAGCTTTATTGCTGATGGTAGATTGTTCCAGAACGGAGGTCCTCTAAATGAAAACGAGGGTTGACCAAATGTTGTTTTGTATTTTGGTGGTTTGCAGTTGTCCGCTACTACTCTGGTTGTAGCTCCTGTGCTGCTACGATGCTACGATCCGCCTGCTCAGCAGCTCCGGGATTCGGCCATTCAGACATTTGAATGTCAGTTTTATACCAGAGAAGTTTAGAAAGTTATCAGAACTTAGGAGATTGTACTTCTCCTGTATTTCACAGTGGTACTACCCTATTGGTTTATTTATTTTTTGTCCAGTACGCACACAGACTGGGTTGCTTGCGCCAAACAGTTCCATTCCATTTTATTCATTAAGGACATTTCTACACGGCCGAGGCCAACCAAAGTGCTGCAGAGTAAAAGAGCATAAAAATCAACACATGGGAAGAAAGTAATAAAAGTAGTACTACAGTAACTACTATAAAATCAACAATAAAAATAAAACAGACATAGTAAAATGCTAACTAAGCTAAAGTAAAAGCCAAGGAATAAAAAAATAAGCCTTCAGGCGTGATTTTAAATCAGAGAGGGGGGGGGGGGGCATTCTCACTGCTAGAGGAAGTTGATTCAAGAGACGAGGCGCACAGATTGAGAACGCTCATTCTCCTCGTGTCCTCACCCGAACACTTGGGACCTGTAACAGGCGGTGGTCTGCTGACCGAAGAATTTGACCAGATATGTAGGGCTGAACCAGCTGAGTCAAGTACAGAGGTGCCTAAAGATAGAGCGACTTAAAAACAAGAAGAACATTTTTAAACTGGATGCGGTAGCGCACCGGGAGCCTTTTCAGCTAAGCCAGAACAGGAGTAACGTGCTCCCTCTGTCTGGTGTGCGTCAGTCATACTAGTGAGAGGTGAGACAGAATCATGGCATGTGGGTACAGCTGGGCAGCTTTTACAGGCAAATACGACCTTATCAGACAGAAGCAGTTAAAATCCACCTGATGAAAACAACCATGCTATGGACCATGTTTGCTCGTCTAACTATTTAAGGGGTCAGTAGAATACTGTTTATTTACAGTCACAATGACCCAGGATCCATGATAAACACTGCTGAGGGTCCAGTTGGTGGTGGAGCGGAGTGTGCTGACAGATGGGAAAGTAAGTGTCCCATTAGGTCCTGGAACATGAGCGCTAGAACATTCTTTGTGTGCCTTTAGACCATGAAAGATGTTCTTCAGTAGTTCAGTCTAGGGTTCACATCAGGAACTAAGACTCCCAAACCTGCCGTCTGAAGATACTTTCTCCTCCAGCTCACTTCTACTTCCTTATTCAGGTGCATCTGGACTTTATTTGTATGTATGACTTAAAAAGGCATTCACTCCAACTAGACCACTGCAAATGTATTAATTGAATGAGCGTGTAACACATTTAATAGCTTTTCAGGGCGTGACCTGAAATAGATAGGCTTTTGCAGCCTGTTCAGCATCCAGGGACCCAGTGGAAGTAGGCCTGTGACCTAATGGGACTCACACTCCCCAGGTTAGAGCGTGACATCCTCACTCTGATGGTAGATTGCAAACGTGACCAAATAGCAAAAATTCATTAACCCTCTGAAGGCAGGCGTTGCAGATTTGCAGCAGTTAAAACCTACCTACCTGGTTACTCCACATACGTATTTCATGAGTATTTTTTAACTCAGAAGTACCCCTGAAGGACTTAGTTGTTCGGCCTTTTATCAAAACTTATTTTGAGCCTGAGGGGGTTAAATGGGTTTGAATGGCAAAAAGTTGTATTCATGCATATTTGACAAGCCTTCTTATTCTGTCATTACATTTTTATACCCGTAGAACTAATTTAAACCACTAGAGGTCACTGCAGCCAAATATTCAGGCCTAGGCCACTCATTCTCCAGTAGACCCATCAGCACTCACGTCCTTTTTCTTTCCACACGATGATGCTTGAAATATTCACAAACATTCAGCCAGAAGAAACTAAACGACAGACAGGTCTCTTAAATTGAAGTAAAACTAGATTTTGTGTTTCCTTTTGAATCTTACATTTTGGTTTCCCCTCTCAGTTAAGGCGACTTACACTGTAGAAACATGTTTCCCCAGCTGAGCCACTCGCTCCTAAAATAACCCAAACAAGATGGAGCACAAGGGCTAATTTTGTCAGCCTCCGGGTGAACCCGCGTGTCTCTGTAACCTGGATACCGCTGGCACCCAGCCCCTATCACTATGCCAGCAACTCCAAGAAGAAACAGTTACAAGATCAGTACTTTAGACTGGAATTATTATTATTGAAGCCCTGGCGTGCCATGATGAGCTCTTTAGCCTGTATGAGGTCAATGATTCATGCCGCCGTCTCTAATCTGCTAAAAATGCTTCATGCATTCTGCAGATGACAGTCGGTAGTTGAAAAGTTTCTGAGTTTCTAAAATCCAGTTTTGAATGAACATTTTTGGGTTAAATTGTTTAAATTTTACTCACTTCTTCTGTATTTAGATTTGAGCAAATCCAACTTTTAAAAGTTGTCTTGAACAGAAATCCTTTAAGGCATTTTGATAGACGTTTTATTATTATTATTATTGTGCTTTATTTGCCTGATTGCATTTTAAGCATCAGGGAAAATCATGGCTGCTGAAGAGCTGGGCTAGCACAGACTTGTTGAAGGCTGGATGAGGCACATATTTTTATCCACAGATCTTCTTACCCTGATGCATCTTTCCATCTGGAACCGAGTCGACACACCACAGTAATCCTTTCCAACAATAAAGTACAAACTATTCCCAAACTACAGCTAGAAACTAACAAACTTAAACAATTGTCCCAGATTGACTTCATTTGACCTGTTTAATAAGTAATTTAACACTTTTGCATGAAGTTGCATGTTTTTTTATTACACCAACGTTGATATAAACTTGCCGCATCAAAAATAAAACAAAATCAGAAACTGATCGGTTTATTGATATAAACACATAGATGTTACATGTAGCTCTCCTATGAGGAACAGTAAATTGATTTAAGTAAGACTAACGAGATGTTTCAGTAGGCGAGAATAGGGTTTGATCATGTGACGGTAACCACTAAAGGGTGCTGGAGTGACTCAAATGAAAGTGAAAGACTTGGTGGACATGGATATGGACTTTATGACGAATGCATGAAGTGATGATAACAACTGTTCATCTAAACAGAAGTTGGTAAGCGTTCACAGGCTACAATCCATTGGTGGTGGTCACCAGCTGTATATACATGTTCGTCCAGGAATCCGACACCTTCCTGTGGAGGCAGAAAAATAATTAACACGGCTGACATCTTCATTTTGAACATTTGAGGTGAAATTATTCATAGGAATTGAAGGTGCAACACACCTTATGCTACAAAGGCTTCGTACCTTCTGCTCCTAGTTTTGGGGTTGCAACAGATTTTTAAAAAGAAGAATTCAGATTAGCAATTCATAAATCACTTTTAAACACATTTAAATTTCACTCTGATGATCTCTAACGTTAAAATGAAGCTCTGGAGGGAGAAGCTGCTGCTGCAGCTGCTGAGTCAAGGAAATGTGATGAAGTCACCTGACTGAGCACACCAGGAGCCATTTTAGCTTTAATTTATGGCTGCTGCTGCTGCGGCTGCTTGGACTGTCTCAGAGGCAGAGGCTACCCTTTCCAAGTTTAGTGACCTCCATGTATGGGCAGCCTCCCCAGTGGAAGTCGCTGTCCGCTCATTTATGTAACCCGTGAAATAAAGTCACTGCATTTGTTTAACTCGTGTAAACACAATAAAAAATTCACCCCAAATCAAACACGATAAACGCTAAATCACAACATTTCAAAGAAGATTCTTGTGGTTCACCTGTGACTGAGAGGACGTTCTCTATTTCTTCTCTGCATCTGGATTTGCTGGTTCTGTTAAACACAAAGTTCAGCCGCTTACGTCGATGTCAGATGAGATGTACGTACAAGCGTGAGACCCGGACTTACGTTTGACCTCCAGCTTGCAGCTGACGACTGCTTCTCCGTGATCGTTCTTGGCTCTGCAGGTGTACACGCCGCCGTCAAAGTTACCGGGTTTTCGGATCTCCAGAGAACAAATTCCCTGGACGCAGATCTGCCTGAATTTAGGATCGTCTCCAATGATCATCTGGTTCTTCATCCATTCAACCTTGGGCTGCAGAAAGACAGATATGCAGCAGTGTCTGTTTTACTTGGCAGGAATGAACCACGTTGAGGAGAAGAAAACACACAACACTCGCTGTTACAGGAGGTGTAACGATAACGACACAGCGAGTGCCTCTCAGGCCCCCAAACAGAATGTAGCACATGCCACCCAGCTTCCTCTCCTCTTCCCACGGCTCTAAAAAGAATTCTGTTGACGTTGTGTCCAGCCGGTAACCCGGCTGATTATCAGCCAAGCAAGAACTGACATCGGTGCATGGGGGTGGGGGTGGGGGTGTGTTGATGCTCCTGACAGGTGATGGAAATCCGGGTCTCTGCTATCTGTTCTACTGGCGTTTACTCCAAATGAGAGGATTGCATTGTAGGAAGAGCCAATTAAATCTGATTTATTGGGGTTTTATGTTGAATCTAACTTATGATCCAACTTACATTACATGAGTCTATACATGTTATTAATTAAATCTGTTGCTTTTAGATGGCTGGCCCTTCAAAAATAGATTTCATTTGTTTTCTTGCCCTGCGCGTCCCGCTGAAGGCTTATAAAAACGACACCAGAGCAGGTACTGCACCTTAGGGAATCCCCTGACGGAGCATAGCAGCTTGGTGCTGTAGCCCACGGTGGTGCTTCTGTCGCTCAGATTGGTGGTGAACTTGGGCGCCTCGGTGAAGTCATGCTCCTTGTAGTCAGGAGGTTTGTACTGAATACCTGAACAATGGGACACAGAAAGACTCATTAGCATCGAGAAACGATGTAGAAACGATGACGCGAGCAACATCCGGTGAGATACCGCAATTAGCGCTTAGCCACTGGGTTGCATGCTGAGGTTTTATTTCTCGTAGCAGTTTATTTGAACATTTAAGAGAATTTTTAAAACTTCTTGTCTAAAAGAAAATGTACTTGCGTGGCTCGGGAATATGTTGCGCTTTTCGCGGTTGTACTAACAACCAGAAAGTTTAAATCTGTAGCTGCAAGAGCAACGTTTGGAACATGCGCTCCGCTTTGCTGTACATCAGTGCAAGATGACCCTAAACCCACAAAGAAGTGCATTGGATTATGCTTTTAACAAGTGCCAAATGATTTAAATAGAGCTCAATGTTAAACATTATCAAATGTGTTGAAAATGATCGTCAGCTTATCGTAATTCGCAAAAACCTGCTGTTTGTCTTTCACCTGATGTAGAAACTAAAAGCCAGGCTTGCTGACGAGGGAGTTAAGGCTCTGACTCGGCTCTGCGTCTGCTTTTAACTAAATAAGAATGTGTACCTCTTTCAACAAAACACACCAACTTTGTTATGTAGGTACTGCTAAGCATCAGAGCTCCTAAAACTCACGAGGCAGAGTCAAGAAAGTAGTTCATTTGTTACTGTATGTTCGCTTTGGCTAGATTTTCACATCTTCCTCCATCCCTCCAGTGTCGTAGGCAGAGCGATTGTAACAGTGACCTGTTTGAGCTCTGACAGCTGGTGTTCCCATGTAGTTTACATCTCTAAAAAGACCCTTAAATGGTGGATTAGCATGAACAGATTGCATCATTCATCCATGGTTGCAATGTTAACAAACGCCAGGCCGGAAGAAGGTCGCATATTTCACGCAAAGGGCTCATTAGAGCTAGGATTAGGGAGGACATCGTTTCATGGTGCAGAAAAAAGACAGAATGTGTGTAAAAATGAAAGCTACTCTCAAAATGACATATTTTTTATTCAACTTGGATACCTTATGAAAGGAATTTATATATTCTTTAAATTAAGACCTCTTTTTTGTAAAGAAATAAATTCAAATGGGTGAAAATCTCACCTGTTTTTAGGATCTTAGCCTCGCCCTTTGTAACAGCAGCACTCTCGCTCATTCCACACTTGTTTTCAGAAAACACTCTGAACTTGTAGGTGTTGCCCATGATGAGGTCAGAGATGGTGGCGTTCAGCCTGTGGTAGTGCTCCAGCACAGTGAACCAGTCCTGTAACGCACATCGGTGATAAATCAGAGGAGATCCGAGGTAACTCGTGCATTACTGAACACGACAACCTTTATTCTCACTCACTCCAGTCTTTTTGTCGGCCTTCTGGATCGTGTATCCTGTGATCTCAGTGTTTCCATTGTCTGTGGGCGGGGTCCACTCCAAAGCAACGTTGAAGCCCCAGGTATCAACAATCTTCACGCTGGCAGGAGGCCCCGGAAGCTCTGTTAATCCACATCAACAGATTAAGTATCAGACTAGGAGTCATTTGAAATGTCACCTCACCGTGTCAAAGTTTTACTCACCAACAATCTGAAGAGTGATGGAGGTCTTATCTTCAAAGCCCTCCACCTTCACGGTCATCTCGTACACACCGGAGTCCTCTCTCTCCGACGCGCGGATAAACAGGATGCTATCTCTCTCCGTGCTGCGGATGTTCACCCTCTTTGGGTCCAAGGGCTGTCCATTCTTCGTCCAAGTCACCACGGGTTTGGGCTTGCCCTGTGGAACAAATAAGAAATAAATGTAACAGATTCCTTGTTTTATTTTACAAATTAACAAAAAACAAGCCAAGCTCTTTGCTCACTGTGAAAGGGATGGTCAGGTTGATCTTCTCCCCGACGTGAGCGACGTATCTCTGCCTGAGGAAACGAGGCAGGCGGACCTTGGGACGGTCTGAGGAGAACAAAACAAAGTGAAAAGACAAGAATCACGAGCTTAAACCGAACATACGCTCATCAAAACAATATTTTGTGTTTCAACCAGCATCACAATTATGTTGATGGTTCACCGACTCGCATGTTGATGATTGATTTTACATTTATCCTCCCTTCCTCTGTGAAATGACGGACCCTCTATCATCTAGCCTTGCTATGTGTTTTTATTTTGAGGAAAACCACATTTCCAAGCATGTTTGGCCAATTATTGTAACTGAGATGAAACAAACACAAGAGTCAGAAGAGTTAAGCAACCCAGACAGACGCAGCAGCATGGGGGGGGGGGATCTTTACAGTAAGTATACAAAAAATATGTGTAAAACTACAGCCTAGAGGCTATTTAATGTAATATCAGGAATGCAGAACTCTCAAGTACATAGGTGGCAGGAACGGCCAATCACACGCTAGCAAGTATCAGCAGAGCCAATAGATGAGCTTAAGCACCCCCCCCCCCCAAAAAAAAGACTAAAACAAATTTTTATTTTCCTTTTGACACATTTAAATCTGGCTTTTTTGTAGGTTTCTGTATCTTAGGTCGATAATAACTTATTTTAATACCTGCATTGGTCAATGTACCTTTTTATAATCAGGCTAATTTGTGGGCAGCCTAGAGCTGCTGCCAAATGTATTAACGTTCCTGAAAGACATCTGCTTAATAAACACTTTAAAACATCACTGTCAACTGGCTTTCTTTTGATTTACCCGTTTCCTAATTAATACTTGGTCAGTTAATTGATTTGTTGGACTAACTTGGACAGTTAATTGATTTGTTGGACTAACTAAATTTAAATGTTTGATTTTAAAACTGACATGTGCACAGAATTAAGATTCAAGAGTCCAAAAACTGATTCAGCTTTAGAAATGTTCACTGAAGCATCCAACGTTATTATTGGTGGTATTTTTGCACGTAGAAAAGGCACAAAGCCTTTAGATATCAGCAGTGAAAATTGCTCTAAAATTTTTCAGCAGCACACATCGGCATTAGAAAAATCCACATTGATCCATCTCTACTCCCGGTCTCCACATTCATTTATATCTTCAAACCAACTAAATTCAGAGCTGGTGACAGAGACAGCTTTTCTACCCACTCAGAAAGAAATGTAAACTTTTCTGTACAAATGACCACTTATTTTCTAGTCAGTCCTCATTAAAGCAGCAGAACACATTTAGCCACTTTGACTTCAGCTGCGATACCGAAGCCTCAGGCAGACACTTGGAAGCACCTCACTGCAGCTCACCACCTGCTGAGTGCAGCAGAGCAACACTTGTCGGCACTCTAAATAAAGAAGGCATACGGTTGCTTTCACTATGTCAGCTCTCTTCATGACATGAGATTTGCAGATTCAATTACATCAGAATGCATCGAAGTCTGAATCAAATGGGACGTGAAAACAGCTGTTTGGGGCTGAAAAGCACCTAATATGTAGACATAAAAGTTCAGATTTCAGTGTGTAAAAGAACAAAGTGAGGTGAGCGACTGCAATGTGGAAAACACATAACTGGCTACGTGTTTTCTCTCTTCACACAGATAGGCACTCTGCTTGTTAAGCCTGAAGCATGTGGGAAAATACACGGGGAATTTCAGGAGCTGTCATTAGATTTTGGTGTCATCTGAGCAGTCAGACACCCACCCCCCTACTGAGACTGGACCCAATGGAATTTAGTACCCAACCCCAGTCTTCGCTTCTTCACTGCCCCCACCTGCTTGCAGTCAGATAAACTGACACCAGAAATTAACCCGACCCGTTCCTCAGCGTGAGTTCCAACAACACAGTCCAAAAACTCCCAGAAAGTAGGAGTTTTGAAAGTGGTCTTCCCAGATATTCATGAAATATTCAAAGCTGTTTTGGTTAAACCGTTGCTTTAGATGTGGACCACCTGTTATGGTGAACTCTGAACATGGACGTGGTCGTTGAAAGACAACCGATCGAGCTGGGATCACGTTTCCTCACCTCCCCTCCCTCCATCCCCTTAAGAACAACCGAGAGTTAAAGTAACGCCGCTCGTCCCGTTAAAGCCCTCTGGGTCCAATCATCATTTAACCACAAACCACTTCAGTGATACTGTCAGTGATTAACACTGTCAGGTGGTGCGGCATCACCCACCACCTACTTATCACTTCGTGACTGTCTCGACGTAAGGTGGGAGCGAGAGAGCAGATCACAGTTTTATACCTTTAATGCTGCAGGTATGTGGCAACAGGACGAGGAAAGCTGAGAAGAAAACATTGCTGAGCTGTTTCGGTGTCCCTCCTCCTCTTTATAATTAATGACTAAAACAGACAAACCCATATTAGATATGTTCTATATTTGTTCTAGAGCGCTGTAGACATTAAAAACCTTACAAAAATGTCTAAATACAAGCTACGTTCTAAATTCTCATTGTGGAAGCCATCTGTGTTGATGCTGCTGGAAAATGATCCAACTTAACACTGAGAGACAATCTTTTTGTAACACCTTACAATAAGGGTTCCTTTATTAGTTCGTTATTAAGCATTAAAACTGCTTATGTGATTATGTTATTTATTATGAAAAGCATAGCACCTCAGCCCTTTGTCCTAACCTTAAGGACACTTAACAGTTAACAATAACAGGGACATTAATAAAGGGACCTTTTGTTTATTAATGCTTAATAACATACTAAGTAATGTCAATAAAGGAACCCTTTGTTTATTAATGCTTGATAATGTACTAAGTAATGTCATTAAAGGGACTTTATTAATGCTTAATAATTCACTAAGTGACGTAAATAAAGGGACCCTTTGTTTATTAATGCTTATTAACATACCAAGTAACATCAATTAAGGTCCCTTTGTTTATTAATGCTTATTAACATACCAAGTAACATCAATAAAGGGACCTATTGTTTATTAATGCTTAATAATGCACTGAATAATGTCAATAAAGGGACTCTTTAATATTGCTTAGTAATAAAGCAATATTAAGTAATAAAAGGACTCTTATTGTTAACTGTTGCCATTGATTTCAGATTTACTTTTCCACTTTCAGACTTCTCTTACCTGCGACCTCCTTGACCAGAACAGCCTCGGGGAGGGTGACGGGGGTGCTGCGGCCTCCTTCGTTCACAGCCACGACTCGGATCTTTAGACGATCATCCGTGGTCAGGTTCTTGATAACATAGCGAGAGGACTTCTGCAGCTCCTCGTTAACTGCTTTCCAGTCCTCGGCTGGATGGAAACATGACACATGCTGATAAAGCTGTGGCAGAAATGTTTGGTCACGTGATGAAATAGCTCCTTAAACCCATTAATACAATTAAGACCTGAATTTGCTTTAACTCAAAAGCACGTCTGCACATTGACCACTATTCTAAAATGCTATTATTGGTATAATTCATAAAACTGCATGATTATTTTCTCACCTTTCCCCCAAAAATAAATAATTTAAAATTAACTAAAGGACATTCAAACATGTACGTTAATGTTATGCATCTGCACTTCATCTACTGACCCTTTTTTCCAAAAACAGGAAAAGCAAAATTGTACATTCCCAAGGATCTCATTCACATAGTTAGAGTGCATGAAGCAACGAATGGAAAGGACATGAAAACACAGTGGCCCCTCCTCCCCAGCTGCAGGTAGAGAGGGAAAGTCCAACAACTGATGCACAATGATTGAGAGGACACGTAAATCCAGAACATTACAGCAAAGTGTGGTGTTCTTCTCAGATGGAGAAGTATCCTGCTATGGGTAGCCATCTCCTTCTAAAGATGTCATATCTCAGTTGTAATTGGGCCGTTAGATCCAACATTCCATAAACCTCACCTGACTCCACTGAGCATTCATCCGTTTTGTTGACACCATTTCTCCAGCGATCATCAAAAGTGTGTGTATCAGATACTTTTGGCTGCTGGTAGACGCATCTTCAGGAGTCAGACTGAACAGAACTGGTCTTGGATTGAACGCTAAATAGATCCCTAGAGTCCATCTATCTCACTCTTTATCCTCCTCTAAAACTGACGCATCAATGGGTAATCCCAAAATATGTGCAAATGATCACCAACCCTTCCTAATTTCCTCCAACAGAATTTTGGAGATTACCACTAAATTTGGGGACCTACCAGGGCATCCAAAAGAAAACATCATCTTCCTCGTCCTGGTCAAACTCCTCCCACATATTACTTTTAATACCCTCCTAACATCCAGCATATGTTATCCCATTCTCCATACTCAATTATAATGTTAGTCTCCAGCTCCCATTTAGTTTTATGTGAAAAGTACTTTCCAGAGCATCTAGTAATACTACTGCCACACTCTAACCCATTTTTCTGTTTATTTCAACAGCAGCTAGTTATGTATAAGTCTACTTTATTCATTCATTCATCAAACACCAACTATATCTTTCATAAATGTTCAGCTTTTTGTTTTAGAAACACTTTTTTGTTTTATTCTACTTGATAAAAAAGACAAAGTGCACATATTTCCAGATCTGATCAGATGCTGTCGATACAAAACTCATTGGTCACATTTTGAACTAATCAGTCCTATAGCAATAATCCAATTCAACTGTAGAATGAAAAATACATCGTTTCAATTTCTTTCTCAACTTTAAGCCTCAGTTGCTAAAGGTTCTTTAAAAAATCTACATAGCACTATAATCTTACGTAACTTTGGGCCCTGTAACGAACACCGCCCTCCTTATTTCTGCTGACTAATGCTTTCATCTTACACAAACATGAAACTCCCTTTTCCAAGAACACATACACCAGGTTTCCTGCACTTCAAGAACACGCCGTAAATCCCCCCGTGGGACCTGCCTCGTCAGATTTACGACTACAGATGTGACAAATGCAGATTTCTAAAAGGAAAGGTCGTATTTGGGAATTGAAAAGGATTCCGTGAGCCACACAAAGTTGCTGTGTGACTGCTAAAACAAGCCAGCTGAGATTAGCTTAGTGCTGTGAGTCTAAAAGGAGGACCTCCAGCAGGACTACAGCGGCTCCTGAAGGGCTCCTCTCCTTCTAGGGAGAAGTCAGGAAGCTCATGTTATGACGCTGGGAGTGACACCTCAGGGACAGCTGCAGCTGATAGGGATGACCCACACTGAAGCAGCAACTTCACATTTTCACGAGTTTCCTTTTAAATAACCAGCTTCGGCGTTGAAACTGGAGTATGGGTAAAGCTGCACACGTCTAGACCTAGGAAGCCGTCAACAGGAAATCTGTTGATATAATTTAAAGGTCATCTTTGCTGTCAGGGTGTATTAATAAGTCTATCTGACCCCTTTTGAGCACATGGTATTACAGGAGTTCAAAGCAGCGCAGGACTCACTTCCGTCCTTGCAGATTTCAATGACGTATCCATCCAGACCGGTGGGCCCAATGTTCGCAGGCTGGCTCCAAATGATGGTGACTGAGTTGTCATTTTTGTCCTCAACAAACAGATCCACGGGAGCACTTGTTGGCTCTGAATGTGAGCAAAATTTAAAAAAAAAGAGTCATTTCAATGTAACGAGTGCAATTGATGTTTTTAGAAGGAGGATATACCTTTGGGTGGTGGTGGAGTAGGTGGTTTAGGCTCCTCAGGTGCAGGTGCAGCCTCACCTGACGTTATACAGACAGTTCTATTAAATCAGGGCTCAGCTAAAATGTTAGTGAGCAGCTTTGTGCATCGCAGCAACGATGCCCAAAGGTAAATTACGCCTAGGGAAGGAGAATAAAAGTATAGAACTTTTGCAGGTTTTACCCTCAGCAGGCGCTTCAGCAGCGGGAGCAGCTTCCTCTGTGGCCGGAGCAGCAGCAGCTATTATTGAATGTTAGACATGAATTAGTGCATGAAGCAGATGGGACATAATCTAACAAATGACTATAAATGTGTTGAGAATTTCTGATCCTGTCCTAAAGAAGTCCGTTGGTGTAAAAGCCAGACGCTCAGTTCCATCTGAATTAATTATGTTCTCCTTGTTTTATTTGTTTGCTTCGGCCATAAACAGGAGCATTATTAGCAGCAGCACATAGTGTTCCCGCAGCATGAGCAGCAGCTGGTATTACAAGTTTGGGTGTTAGAAAAAGCTAAAGAAGCTCGCTGTCCTGAGGATTCCACCTGATTTAGTTTTTATCAGCAGCAGAGACCTTCAGCAGCGGCTGATGATTTAGGATGGAGCCCCTGCAACAGCTGCTGAGGCTGATACAAGTTGAAAATTAATATATATTAATAGAGAAGATAGCTTACTAGAGTTTTTAAAATTCTGATAATCATTTATTATTTTTCCACATTTTAAAACAATTTAAAAAAAGTAAAAATAAAAATGATTACATTTCAAAAGTAAACCAGATTAAGTGTGATTTGGGGACCATCTGGTGTAGGTAATGAAGTTGTGCATCACTCCTGAATCATTTCAAGGCCACAAGATAAGATAAGATTAAAAAAAAAAAGGCGCACCAAAGCAAAGCTAGTTCATGTGTCTGAGACCCAGAAGCCCATGAGCACCGCACACTTCCGGGAGGATTTAAAGATGATTCAAGTGTGTGATGGTCTGAGGAGCCAGAAGCTGAACAGTGTTAGTCAGAAAGCAGCTTCCATGAGATTTTAATGGCTTCAACCTCTCATCAGAAAGTAAGCGCGCACGTGCGCAAACAGTGACAGCGCGCTACCTGCAAAACAAATCTTAATTTAAATTATAAACAACGTATCCTAAATTGGTCCGTGTGGAAATTAAGCAGGGTGGAGTCCGGATTTGCGCGCGCTGGACATTACCTTCTGCGGGGGGAGCACCCTCCTCAGCTGGGGGAGCCTCTCCTTCAGCCGGGACGGCTTCCACGGGCTCAGCGGGTGCTGGTTCCGGGACGGGCTCCGGAGCCGGCTCTGGAGCCTTCTCCTCCTTCTTGGCTGGTTCTTTCTTGGCCGCCTTCTTGATTGGGGCAGGCTTGGACGGCATGATGGAGGTCGCAGCTAATTCCCAACTTAGTTAAGTCCTTCAAACAGTATCCAATGCCATCATTCCTCTGGGAACGTCGGGCTTATATAGGGCTCAGCAGGCCAAACACCGCCCCTTAATGAACAGCATGTAATAAACACCACGCATGACTCACATCATCATATCTGTCTCATTAACACGTAATCTAATTCTTATTTAGGGACGTGGAGTTTAATTAATTATCATAATTTATTAAGAATATTTGTTAAGACTCCTGTTACACTCCTGAGCCAAATGAATAGCTCTTTGAATGGGCTCAGTTTGAAGAAACAGAGATTAGTTCCAATTGAAAAAACACGTACAGAATGATCCATCATTGGGTCTTATACAGCATTTTGTAACGTCTTGATTGCGTTCGATGGTGGAGCGGGAGTGGCAGAAACACATGAAAAGACAGGGAATGACTGACAACCACTCAGGCTCTGGGGAATCTCAAAAATGATAAATGATAAATGACCTGCACTTGTATAGCGCCTCTCAGAGTAAGGACTCCAAAGCGCTTTACACTACAGTGTATCATTCATCCATTCACACACACAGTGATGAGCTACGATGTAGCCACAGCTGCCCAAGGGCGCACTGACAGAGGTGAGGCCTCTGACCACCAGCAGCAGTCAAGGTGGGTTAAGTGTCTTGCCCAAGGACACAACAGCAGAATTCTCTGTCCGGACCAGGGATCGAACCTGCAACCTTCCGATTACTGGACAACCCGCTCAACGTGTTGATACTGCTGCCCTTTAATAAACACACTCTTCAACAACCATATAACTCCCGGTTGAACGGCTGCTATCTCACCATACCAGAAACAAGCAGTGTTTACACAACCCGTAACGATACTTGAGTGAGGGAGAGAAAGTTTAGTCCACGTGTCCAACTGCAGCACGCTTCACCCAAGTTTTGCAAGAGCAGGAGGTAGTGGCGCATACTGGTGACATCATAACAAGACAATTTTGGCTGTCTCAAAGAGACCACATACTTACGGCTGTTGGTGTCTTACAATAATTTCATCTTTGCCACAAATTTCACATTCATATCACCCAGAGGTAGCCTACAAATATAGAAAGGCAGGATCTGAAGCAAAATTACTTTGCTCTGCAAGTTGGTCTACGCTCAGGAGCCTCAAGTCCACGCCCATCACAGCGCAGTATCGGTTTGGTGGGCGGGATAATGCGATGGAGCAGAACAACTAACTTGGCATTGGCTCATTTGAAACAACTTTGGCATCATCTTTGGACTTGGGCGTTTCTTTGAGTCAAGAACAAATAGAGGCACTTGAGTCCTTTATTTAGAAAAAGGATGTTTTTGTGTCTTCTTTGATGGTGTAATGCAGACTGCCCTGTTGACTGACATCCATAGCAGTGAGTACGCCTTGCTGTTTGTTGTCCAATAGACTCCGCTCCATGACAGAGCTCTGTCTATGGGTCATGGCCAGACGATGTATTCTCGTATATACTGACTTAAAAGTAACAATGAGCACTTTCCTGCTCCTCTGTCCTACAAACAACCTTGCTGTAGCTAGCGCTAACAACAATAACATCAATGGGCTCGACACACAGGAAGCAACTTCGCCTCTCCTCCATTTATTTTAAATGAGACGTGCATGACAAAGCGATAATCACGGGCCTCCCTCCTGCTAAGCGACACGCAAAAAAACGTGCATGTGAAATTTTGCACTCGTGCATGTGATGTGCACAGGCGAGCCAGTGATGTGATCTCAGAAAGTTAAGAAAATTTTAACTTTTCATTGCCGTCACTTGGAGAAGGACCAATCAGAGGTTTCATTAACTGACCAATGAGTGGGCAGGATGTTTCTCAGTACATCTCTGGGAAAACATGAAAAAAAAGTAATACATGTCAGATGTCCCAGAGCTTTACAACAATTCTACAAAAGAATATGGAGATCTTCAAATAGGCAGCAGCATGAGAAATTGTTGGTTGTGAGTGTGGTCTCATATTCACGGTTTCTTTTTCTTGTTGTAACATGGCATGATCCCATTCACATATTTTTCTTTTTTCTATAGTAAAGTCAGAAGTAAGACTTCACTTAACTCTAGCAAAACCTCATACTTCATATCTACGGCTTTTTCAACTCTGAACTGCTCTAACTCAACAATCCCTCCAATTTGGTCCAGCTGGTCGCTGCCGCATGTTGCGTCCCATGTGTCAGGTTATCAAAGCGATAACGAAAAGTTTCACTGATCGCAGTTGTTTGTCACCTCCTGTTTGTCGAGCCCTTTACATGATCCAACTAGTACTAAAATAAACAACCCAAAGATCCCCACTGTTGTACATAAATATTACTCACAAGTCCAGTAGCAACAAAGCCAGGTCACTATCAGTTCTTGATTTTGTAGCCTCCTTTAGCTCCCTCACACTAGTGTAGGCCATGCAAATGTTCACTCTGGTTTTAGCGCTTTGCTTCACCTCCAATAAAATTATTCTTTGACTTTTACTTTCAGGCTCCGCCATGATGCCGACAGAAAACGCAAACTTCTTCTTTTCTTCATCTTGTGCTTTTTTTTTTTTGATGATCGGCAAACTGAAATTGCTAACCTCTAGCACTGCAGCTAACAAAACTGTTAAGTGCAGTACGACAGCAGAGTGGTGTCAACTATGAAACTGGTCAAGATTCTAACTCAACAATCACTGAGTTCGATGGTAAAGCTCTAGCTTAACTTGTTACTTTAACTCCTCGGCCAGCCGCCCTGTAATAGTTAGGATATTAATTCTTTATTCACTTTTAACAAAAACACAATACGGTATCTGTGCCTTCAAATCAAATTAAAACACGAGGAAAATCTAAGTCGTATGACATGTATTTTATTTTATTGTTTCCAACAAAAAGTTCTAAGTGAATGAAAACTTTATCCATGTACTGAACCTAGCTGATAATTTATCTTTTCTAATGGATGCTTTTATTTTATCCTGCTCTGATTGTTGCTGCATCCAGAGTGGTAACATTGTGTATTTACAGCCTTTACACGGATGAACTGTACAAAATAAAGAAATCAAGTTTTACAAAGGAGCATTAAGAAAATAAAAGAAATATGAAACATTTCAGTTTTAAAAATGAATGACTTTCCTAATTGATGTTGATGTGAAGGTTTTTCTCATCACACGGCAGTTTACATGCATTTACAGCACTTACAAACCCTTAACATTTGCACATCAGTGACATTAGATACAGCATAACAATTCTTTTTTTTTCTTCTTTTTAATCTGAGCCCACAACAAGCTTTGCAAAAATATGACTATTCAGCAACCTGTATTGGCCGAGGACATGAGTAGTATCTCCGATTCTGGATCTAAATCAACTATACCAGCATAAAAGAAAGCAGGTGTAAGTAAGCCAACGCGGCTCATGGTTTGATTTTTATTAGCAATTTTTCTAAGTTTTTTGACCATTTACAAAATCACATTTCCTCTGTTTCCATTCATAAACTCAAAACACATCAAACAGCTTAAATACTCTGACTGCGTTTATAAACCCTGTTCAAAACCGTCCATTCCTTAAGGCTGAGTCTCACTGGCTAAAACGGGCTTTCACTTTTGTCTCTCTTGTGCAATATGGTCCATACAAGGAAGTTAAAGACCAGGAAAAAAGCAGTGAAGTGACATCCGCCAACTGCCAACACCAGTAGAAGTTGCTGCATAGTCCTGATGCACTAACAAGCAAACACAAGTCACAGCTACTACAGAGCAACAGGCACAACAACCAGTAATGAGATGAGAAGCTGGACCTAGTAGCTTTAGGTATCCCGCAGGACACATCAGAAGTGATTCTGGGAATATTTACAGCAATGATGTCTCCTCACATAGTTTTGCTCTTTAAAGACCAAGTTCACTTGTCTTTTTTCAACACATCTGCAGTGGTCTCTAGCATAAACAAATGCCTTGTGAGCCTGGGCTCTCCTGTTTCAGGAAGTTAGCCAGAAAAGAGGGAAGCAGAGCACAGCAGGATTAGGACTCCTATTTCCTGGTATTTAGACATCTCATCTCTGATTTTCCAACATCGATGACTCTACCACTGACTCAATTTGCTCTGCGACATTGATGTTTTATCTCCACAAAGAAAACAAGCCTGAAGGAGTTCTGCTGTGTGGTGGAATTGCTAACGTTAACAGTTAGCTTCTATTATTCTATTAGCTGAGACATTCTCTGCTCTCTATTAGACGCTAAACCAACAACAGCCTTCCTCATCGCGAGTCAGGATGGGTGAGTCCATGAATGTTGAGTGACAGTGTGACATAGATCTGTCAGGATTTTCTAATCCTAGAGTTTCTCCGTCTGTTTTCTATCAGAAGCTAATGCAGGAGATAGGTGTAGGAGACCATTTCCATGTTCAGCCTGCATGAAAAACTCAGAGTGACCCATTATAATTTAAAAAGAACAAGTAAATAACAGTTTCTCAGTGAACTTGGTCTTTAATATCTGTAAATAATTTCGTTTTCTCATGACCAGCCATCAATCAGAGCTGCAGATTAGTACCATGCACAAACGCAACAACAAATCTGTTGCTCAAACACAATCTAAAAGGTTCCTTATCAAGCTGTCATCAAAGTGCTCCAACATTCACTTAGAACATTTACTCGACTTGAAACAGTGAGATGGGGACTATTGCACAACCATTATCATTCATTTAATCCATTAAGACGTCTTCACAAAAGTTTACACAGAGCACCTAATGAAGTTTTAATAAACCTCTTTTCAACACAGTTTGGCTTGTGTCGTGTACCCAGAATGAAAACTGCACGACACTCACATGGGTTCACCAGGATTTACCTATATTACATTAATCTCATTACTTTTGTGTGTTTGACAGAAATAACACCTCGACTAGATTACTCTGCACAACTAAGTGACTCTCATTTAATCCTAAATTGGGGGCCTTTTTAAAGAGCACCATATATATGTTTAAACAATAGAAAAAAATGGTGATAAACGCTTTAGTTTTTGAAGCAGATTAACTATCCAGTAAAACCACAACAGTTAAAAAAGGTTCTGCAGTGGTACTCCGATAAGGCGTCCTTTAAAAGCACCAACTACACAATACTGTCGTACAGTCGTAAAGTGTTTTATATACATTCATAGATAAAATTGAACTCCAAACTCGACAGTCAATAAGCAAACTTAAAGTATTTGGTTTAGTACATCAGATATTTGCACAAACTAATGCAGATAAAGTAATTGCAACATTGTTTGGTTGTATGTACATCCTATGTACAGTATGCTGAGGGAAAGAGGTGTAATTTCTTATGAAATATAATCATCAGAATTAGATTCACTGAGCATTTGCTCAGTTAGTGTTTATCAGAGGGTGTTTATTATAATATCCCTGTTTGGTAATACCTGATATATCCATATGGCAGCACTGCTGGTGCAGTTATAGAAAATAAAACTTAAACGCTCTGAAAAAGTAGCGTGTGCAGCCACGAAGGGATCCGACCACACTGGTGATAAATACGTTGTTTTATTCAAAAGAGTATGACAGCCAGTTATGCTTTAAACTTAAAAAATGCAGAAAATTATAAAGAAGACTATGATAAGGTTTTTAAATAAAATTGATCTCACAGAGTTCAGTTAGTTTTGCTCTAAAGAATAACCAGAAATAGATTTAAAGAGATCTGATCAAGTAAACTGACGGACTGATGAAAGCACCAATATATTCTGCTTAGCTTGAGGTGATGTGGATGTCTCTGCTGTTAAGGCATTTTTCACCTGCTCGGGTTATAGAGTTAAGGATTTGCATATGTGCTACAATTTAGCCTTCAGAAGCTAGACAGACGCTAGATATGTACCAAAAACCATTGCTAGCAACAGCTTTTTGTGATGCTGTCATACTCTTTTCCAAAACAATTGAACATCATCAAGAATTGCACCATTTAATAAGGACTCAACATCCCACGATGCACTTGGGGAGAAAACAGGATGGACGGTGCACGTTTTTGCAGAAATCCCCTGAAGTGAAAGTGCTTAAACACTGGATTTCATTGTAAACTGTTAGCACCAGTCTGAGGGCTATTAAAGTGTTAAATGTAATGAATTAACTTTCATTTTAGATTCGTGAACAGTGTTTATACTGTATGTGTTGGGATCACTTGTGGTTTTTATCTTCAACCTCCCACTGCAGAGTGAATTAAACCCACTCCGTCTGCTAGGGTGCGTGTTTCTGATTGTGCACTGCTCAGTCACAAGTGCTGATGTAAGTTTTAGAGTTTGGGCAGGTTCAGATCTTCTTTGTCTGGAGATTCAATGTAATTGGCCGCCTCTTGGAGTTTCAGAAGCATTGCCATCTAGATAAAATAAGAGAAAAGTTGAGAAATCGAATCATCAGTTCACTTTTACAGATTTTTATGAAGAGAAAAGGCATCGATGGTGTCTCTTACCAGAGGATCTGATTCCATTGAGCTGGGTGGCGTTTCCTTGTGAGACTTCTCCTCGCTGGCTTGGCACGGGCTGCTGGAGCCGATGCTCGGAGGAGGAAGATGGAACAGCTTAGCCTGGTCCTGCTGTGCAGACGGCCAAGGCAGCGTGCCCCTTACCCACTCCACTGGGTCCTCCCACACCGCCTTCTGACCATGGACCTGAAGATTCACAACACAGAAACAAAGAGGAAAAGGGTCAGAACACACTGTGTGTGTGGGTGTGTGTGTGCGCGCGCACGTATGTGTGTGTGCGTGTGTGCACGTGTGTGTGTGCGCGCGCACACATGTGTGTGCGTGTGTGTTTGCGCGCGCACGTGTGTGTGTGTCTGTGTGTGTTTGTGTGTGAGCTCCATCTTCTCAAAACTCCAGTGACAGATGGCTGAGCCAGGATCCTCTGGAGGTTTCTTTGTTAAAAGCAAGTTTTCCTCTTTACTGTCGCTGCATGCGTGCTTAGTATGAGGACTGCTGTAAAGACACTGACACTAGTCAGTGACTCGATGCGTCAGGTCCTCATCATGCCCAACCCACAACACCTGCACATTATCTACTCCCTGCCTCACCATTGGACAACCACAGCAAGACCAGTTAAATACTGCTTTCACTCACTCTGATGCTCAATCATCATCTCTCCACGATAGAGCTCCAGATCCGTGTTTTCACGTATCCACAAATCTCCGACCAACTATTGGCTTTACCAACCCGCTCCAGTTCCAATCCAGGCTCAGCCTTCCTCCTCTCCATCCATCCTTAGCTCCACTCGCTCTCACGAGATGCCATCCCATCCTCTCTGCCACCTGCTCCACTCGCCCCTGCTCTCCTCTGCGTGTGCGTCTCACCGTCACTTCCCCGTTCCTCGCCTCGTCGCCCTGACACACTGACACAATGCAACCCGCGGGGTTCCTTATACAGGAAACTTTTTTACTTATTGGCTTAATGAACTGAAATCAATGTACAGATTATCAGTTCAATTAAAATGTTTACTTTGTGAAGAGCCTTGAGACAACTTTGTTATTTGGCGCTATATAAATGAACTGAACTGAACTATTTAAAAATGTAATGACTGGATGTAGTGACTGAGATTGCCGTTTACACATTGATTCAAATCCTTAGATAAAATGTGTAATATCTTCATGGATGGAACATAACACAATAAATCAGGAAAATTGTGAGCAAGTCATTTTCTATCTTTTACTCCACTACATTCCCTAAAAAGTTTCTAAAGAAAATAGTTCTCTCATTCACGTTTTGTCAGACCCCCATTCCACCCGTGATCTGATGAATATGGGCAGCACCTTCTCTTGTGTTTTGCCCCACCCCCCGGGCCGACAGCACACTTCCACACACACACACAACACATTTTTAAATGTTACTTGAGCACCTTGTGGGTTGATGTCTGGGGGAAAGCTCTGGTGCTCTTGTTTTAGGAATTAGAAGTGAACCAGAGGGGAAGTGAGCAGAAGACTACTTGGATTTGGAGTCTTAATTCCTGATATTTGGACGGCCCACCTTGGATTGGCTAACTGCAATGAAACTCTACCACTGACTCTGATTTATCTCCACAAACAACACACGCCCAGAGGAGTTCTGCTGTGTGGTGGAGTTGCTAATGCTAATGATTAGCTTCTACTAGTCGAGACATTTTTCTGTCATTTCCTGGACGTTAAACCAACCGCCTTCACCGTCTTGAGCCAACGTGGGTGAGTCCATGAGTGTTAATCTGTCAGGCTTTTCTAATTCGAGCGTTTCCTGGTCTATTTTCTATCTGCAGCAACTGCAGGAAACGGGGGTAGAAGACTACTTTCATGTTCAGCCTACAAGTGAAACTAAGAGTGACTGGTCGTATTTAAAATACAACAAGTAAAAAAATGGTTTCTCAGTGAACCTGGACTTTAAGTACATTTGAAAATGCATACTTATTACTTTTACTTCAAACATTTCTTTGATCTTTCCACTTCTGGGTAAGTACTTTCTCTACACTTTTATGTGTACTTTTACTTAAATAAAAAATCAAGTATTCTTCCACCATTCATGATCTTTTTCTGAGGGTTCACACGTCGTTCTTTTGTTTGCTGTGCTTGAATTTACAGAGAGGTGCTGAAAAACCAGATGGAAAGTTCCTGCTAAATGAAAATATGTGATATTCCAGAGAGAAAACGAGAATATGCTCCAAGACGCCTTCATTTAGATTTATTTCTATTTGTTTTTTTTTATTTATCAGACCCAAAATGTGCCCCTGTGGAACATGTAATCTCACCTTGATGCCATCCTTTGCCCCTTCCTGCAGATAAGGAATAATAGAGTGATTCCAAAGATCGATGAACCAAGATCGAAAATCATCGACTGTGACCGGGCAGGACAGGAAGAAGCAAGGCCCTGTGGACACATAACTCACACTCATATTTGTTTCTAGTCCTGTTCTGACGCTGTTCTGTATTTTTCATACCGATGAGGAAGTCAGATGTGCTGTGCTTCTCGAGGAAGGTGTGCAAATGATACCACAGTTTGGGAACCCAATCCAAGACCCGGATCAGGTCTTCGTTGGTCAGGTTCCTCTCATCTTCTGATTCCATCAGCTTCCTGTGCAAATATCGTACGAGAAAACCATTCGCTGGTTCCACGTTGTTAGAGAAGGTCACCATTCTGAAGAAAAGGTCACATCACTTTAAGATCAATCAGCTGCAAGCCACAACATTTGCATCAAAAGTGCCAATAACGTTAACTCTGAGACAGTTAAACCCTTGATTTAAAACCAACCTGAAGCTCAGATGAAGGCTGTGGTTCGCTGTCATCTTCACTGGCTGATTGCTTGTTCCAATGATGTAAGGACTGAAGGTAGAGAAAACGTCACACATGAGGTTATTTATGAAGAACACGCGTCGCTACCATCTGTACGTGACAGTTTTACCATTTGTGATATTTGCATGTCAGAGCTCCGTTGACGAGCTCGCTGATGGAAACCGGATCATGAATATCATCTAATATCAGCACCAGCGGGATCTCGGACGCACTGCTCTCCCGGTCTATTTGATTGGCCAAATTAGAAAGATACAGCTGCAGATCCTAGAGGAAGAAAAAAGAGGCAAAAAGAAAGCGTAGCGTGAGATGATGAAAGACGAACTGATGTTCTGACAGGCCTAATAAATCCAATGAGACCTAGGTTTTGCCGGAGCGTTGGTTTCTGTTACCTTGCATGACTGACGGTGCATGTTGAACGTGATCACAATGCCGTTGGTGACCTCACGGGCACTTCGGTCCACCAGGTACTCAGCCAACCGGGAAGCAAGGTAGCTCTTACCCGTCCCGCTTGGACCAGATAGGATGAGGCGGCGATGTTTGAGTAGGAGACTGATGTAATGCTGCATCATGGTTTTAGGAATGAGGGTTTCAAAAACAAGGCTGTCCACACACTTCTCTTTCAAACCTGGACACATGGAAAGGAACAAGTCAGGATCACGCTGAACGATGCTAATGGAAATTTGGTTGTTTGGTTTAGTTTTTCCTATTCTCTAAGTGTAGGAGCTGCCCTAACGAGTGAATTTCCCCAATGTGGGATCAAGAAAGTCCATTCTGTTCTTCTATTCTAGTGTTTAGAGTTCTGCTAAAACCAGAGAAAACACGGATGGATTTGAACAAGAGCAGATTTCTATCACCTCGCATGTACTTCATAAGCAACACCAAGCTCCGGCATTTCATTCTCAAAATAACTTTGCTTCAAGAGTGGGAAGTGGGTGTGCGCCCAACCCCCTGGCTGCAGAACTGCAACCTGCCTTAACATCCATGGGGCCCATGTGTCTTAGGGTGGTTGAAGGCGATCGGCTCAGGTTGCTCAGAGCACTGCCTGTGCTGCAGCTTTCACAGCTCTTCTTGCATTCAAGCGTGCAAAGACGAAGGTGGCTGACAACTAACTACAAGCCCAAATGCAGCTCTTCTTATTGCACATTGAAATTTGTACTTAGGATTAAAAAAATACCTCAAACTTTACTAGAAAGACAGTGATTTGTATTTTTCATGTGTTGTAGTGTGTGTGCAGACCTTTCAGAGCCACCGTGATGCTGCTGGGTCCTCGTGACATGCAGCGAGACGGCTGTGTCTCAGGGGCTTCTCCTCCCAGAACTCTCTTTATGTGGCCCATGCTGTAGCTGTAGATGGAGTCTGTGGAGAGGCCCAGGCTGAAGGTGGGGTCCACCTTGGCTATGTAGACCTGCGTTAGAACAAACAGAAAACCAGAACAGATTCTTGTGTGAAAATGTTCAGCATGACACAAACAGCTAAGAAAACCTACAGTAACATGATAACTAGTTGTTGTTTTCTTAATCTTTTCAGACTAAATGTCTCACTTTAAAAGCCTGGCTGACAGCAGAATCCAACATGACCCAGTCCATCCTGCCATTCACCCTGACTGTACCGATGAAGAAGTCCTGCTGTTTAACCTCCTGCGGAGATGAGATGAAATCACCAGGTGATCCAGAAACAGTGAGGTTCCTGAAAAAACAAACAAAACAAAAAAACTCAAACCTCACCTCTTTAAAGACCCGTAAATCTGCGACGCAAACGACCACTCTGACACGGTGATCATCCCTCTGTGAAGAAAAGCCGAGGGAGTCGGCAGAATGGACGTCTGTTGGAGAGAATGAGAACATATGATGAATTTTCTAAATGATTAAAAAAAAAACATCTGTGGCCTGACTAACTTCTTCTTCAAAAGCATAATTTAATTAGAAAGTGAGTTTATTTTTTGACTGTGCTTATTTGTCCTCCTCCTGATCTATTTTTACTCTTGATCTTTTTAGCTCGTCAGAGACTGGACTGTACCTGAGCTGCTGCCCTCGCTCAGCCCTCTGCTGTAGCTTTTGGGCATGTGCATGGCTACAGACTGTCGAGGTGATGAACTTCCCAGAGCTGTGAGCCCAGAGGACTGGGAAGCGGAGTTGGAGGGTCCCGGGGAAGGACAGGGAGACAGATTGCCCGTCCTCAGATGATCGTTCTCAGCCTTCAGACTCTCTACTGTCCTCTGTGAAGCAACGTCACACGTGTGTGTTTGTTAGCAAAGAGCTGTGTTAATGCTGCAGGAGTGGAGCACGTTTCTGTGGGTGCAGTCTAAAAAATGTTCTAAAACTGCAGCAGAAATACTGAGCCACTTTAAAATGATTCAACTGGCATGAAACATTTCTATCAGAGAGCAAACTGGTGAATAAAGCGCTACTTATTTGTTGATATAGAAATATTCAAGCCATAGTATATGCAACTTTTTCATATTTGAAATAATCTTTTGAGCCAGTGTGAGCTGAAATGACCATTTGCAGGGTTAATAAAATGTCCTTCAGACCCCCCCACCCTCTGCGGCCAGAATACCACACTTGCAACTTCAGAGTTGCTGGCCCCTCTTAGACTTAGTAAAGTGGAGCTGACATGCTAGTGTAGAAGTCTGCTTCCAGCACGTTTCCTGCATGTTTTAGATCATGAACACAGTTGATTTGTTTAATTTAGTGATGTAGAAACAAGTGAAGGCCGGGGAGACATTTCAGCTGTTAGATTAAGGTGTTAAAGAGAAGAACGAACAGCAAGGAGAGGGGTTTAATTTAGTTTTTAACTAAACCAACTCTAGGGGGTGATTAAACTGCTGAGTAGCTCTCTAAGCACACACCTGCATGCTGATCATGGCCTCCTGAAGCTGCTCCAGCTGATGTGCTGAGTTCAGAGCCTCCAGACGGATGTCCGTCAGTTTACGCTCCTTCTCCCACAGCTCCGTACGCAGCTCCGTTACAACCTTATCATCTGCAACCTCACCTCCTTCACAGAGTCTAGACAACATCCCATATGATAGGATTAAAATTAAAATTTAAATACTGTAAAAAGGTCTGTTTTCAACTGTCACTTTGAAAACGATATCTAGTTCATTGCGAAGCTTTACCCTGACGATGAGGCAGACATTACAGACTTCATTGACTGCTGAGGGGTATCTCCAACACCGTGGACCTTGGGTGAAGAAGGTGCAGAAGATTCTGGAGTGGCTATCTCTTCTATGTCAGCGTACGGACCAGACTTGGTTCCCTTCTTACTGAACGCTTTGTTGAAAGAGCTGCGCAGCTGTTCACAGGATCAAACACACAGATCAGAATAACCAGAAGCTTTGAAAACTACTGAAAAAACATAAACACGCATGCACGTGTGCACACACACACACACACACACACACACACACACACACACACACACACACACACACACACACACACACACAATAAATGTGTTAACATGCTTGTTTCCTGGTGAATCCTGGTGAACTTTAGCCAAGTTATGCTGTGTTAAATCTCTCTTATGTCTGTAGATATGGACATGATGGATAAATATGGAAAAAAAAGTTAATATTATGTCTCCTTTTTTAAACTTGTATCCTGATGATTCTGTCCAGTCAGAAGCATGACTCTACAGGATGACGGATGAGATCAGAACATCATTAAAACACAAAAACAGGGCAGGGTTTTGGGGCATGACTCATGCAGAGTGGAAACTCTGGAAGGTTTTATTTACCACAGCAACATCACTCACCTCATAGACCTACATTTAAACATAAGGGGAGCATGAGGGGGAGAATAGAGTCATACTTAACAACACATGTGGAACAAGTTGCATCAAAAATCATAAACATGCAAAAGGACAAAGCAGGAGGACCGACTGCTACGGGGGTTTAATTCTGTTATTGGTCATTCTGTTTGATATCTTTTGTTCAAACATTAATCATTTTTTAAATTAGGCCCATGTGGTGCATCAGTTCATACCTAAAACCAGTGTTTACATCAAATCAAATCAAATTAAATCAAATTTATTTATGAAGCGCTTTTCATACAAATGCAGCTCAAAGCGCTTCACAATATTAAAAACAACCAGACAGCAGTCGGTTTCCCACCCCTCCCACACAGATTTACATAAGAGATCCCATTTGTATCAATTACATCAATTTAAAGTTTACTGGTGAACAGTAAGGCTCCTCCCCTTCCACTTGGCTCATGGGTTATAGAAGATATTATCTGGTCCACTGTGCCGTACTACAAATCAGAATGAAATGACATCACAGCTGAATCTCTTCTCCCCCAGCATCGCTGCTACTGCCCACATGGCCAGATTTATGGTGTTTTTTTCTGTTTAATGCACCTTCTGTCGTCCTGGAAGAAGGATGTGAAGCTTGCTAAACTCACAGCCAATTTTCTTCTCTTCTCCACGTCTGGTTCAACGACGTCAGTTTGGTGACATGAGCATTTGTGGTCCGCTACGTCTTTTCACACAATGTTAAATCCATGGCAAACAGAGTCAGAACATGACTTATCACTCTACAGACTCCCGTTTATTTGTTATTTGGCAGTAGGGGGCTTGTTTTCTGGAAGTAGATGAACGTGACTTAGGCTCCCTATCACCCAGACAACATCCGGAACGTTTGCAGAGGGAAAGTACTTCAGGTGGGACTGATTTCACTGCCACACACAAACACCACAGAATGTGTGAAAATTAGACATTGGGCATGTTAACTGCGAAGGTAGCTGGGCCAAAAGCACAAGAAATTTTGTGTCAGTGGTTTCCAACCTGAGGTTTGTGACTCCCCCCAAAAGGTTGCAAGGGTCCCCAGAATAATGTCTGTGCTGAAGCTGTGAAGTCACCCAGACTATTTATAAAACCTGCCATTTTAAAATCCCAATAAAGCACTCAGTAGTGTAATTCAAACTTTGTCTAAGAGTCATAACTCTGTCGCGATAAAGTTTGTAATAAATCACTTAACATATATGTGCAGGTCGGCTTTGGTGTTGGGGACCTCGGCTTGTCTTGGACCCAGGCAAGGGGGTCTTTAAGGAAACAATGTTGGAAACCACTTTATCACACAAAAGCACAGGTTGTTAATGCATAGAAATTGCATCGTGTTGACTAGGTGCTGTTTTATTTGGCTCTTTTGGGTAAGGTCGGTCTGGCCTCGCTGCTGATTGGCTGCCAAGAGCTTGGGTTGAACCAACGCAGAGGTGGCTGCTGTTGGGTTTATGCAACTTTTGAAACCTTTAAAGTGTAAAATATGTCCTGTTGATCATTACCAACACACTTTAAAATAATAATCACCCTAAATATTTTCATTAAAATCCATACAACTTATTAAAACTGTTGCCACACCCTATTTGAAACTGATGGACCTTTATTTCATTTAGCTGTTTTTGTTTGCTTATTGTTTTTTTGTTGTTGTTGTCATGTTCTAAAAACCCTTAGTTTTACATTCTGCTTCACAAACACAGGAAATTAATTCACTACTAACTTTATCTGCATGTTCCATTTTTTCTGTATTTTAAAGTTTTGTTACGTGTGTGTGTGTGTGTGTGTGTGTGTGTGTGTGTGTGTGTGTGTGTTTCTCTACTAGTTTATTCACACAAACAGAGATGTCCTAAGTGAAAGTTTTAATTGTTAAAGTATTGGACAGTTCTTATGGATGTACTCCTTGTGATTAGTGTTGTTTGAGTCTATAATTTCCTCACCCAGCTCTTCTTTTTCTTCTTCTTGGCCTCCTGCTCTTTGAAGCTCCCCATGCTGGAGTGACTTGTAGTGCTGGCGAGACTGGAGATGCTCTCTGAGGAGTTCTGGCGATTAATCAGCAGCTCTGAATACCAGAAATAAACAGAGCAGCTATGGTGACCAGAGAAAAGGTCTGCTGTGAGCCTGAAACACACAACGCCTCCTTGTCACACACTCCACCTTTAGGTGTGATGTCTGGATTAGTCAAAGCATCCTGAATGATTTCCTGGGCTTCTGTGTTTTTGGCTTTTAAAATCTCAATGGTATCCTTCAGGTCAGTGAGCTCAGAGTCCTGCGGAGGGAGAAAAAGTGTGATTATGCTTGCTGAGACTTGGTACAGGGACTATTTTGGACTCGGAGGTGTGATATGTCTATAATTGTTCACTGGGGATGTCAGGTTGTGTTAGGTAGCTGATGACAGCACAGATAATCCCACCATGTAAACCTTTGACCTACACCTAATTTATAGGAGAAATAAAAGTCACTTAGCAGGCTCTGCTTTGCTACAAATATGGCAGAGTGCAGCTTTAAAATGATTTATATTAATAGTGAGCCTAAATCTCCCCCTTTTCCGGTCGGCCCACGGGTCCCCAGAAGAACGGAAAAATTAATGTAAGTCAGCAGGGCTAAAAACGCTATTTTCTACTCCGCTTCGCCTTACGCCCTGGATCGCACATATGTTGTACTGCTATTTAAATGAAAAGTAATGATGGGTGTTTCGACCATGCCAGTCACGTACTTTGAGATTTATCAGCTTGTAAAAATGCGTAATTAGTATGACTACAAATCAGAAATCGGTACATCGCATGTGACGTCACCATATATTCTCCTCTCCCCTAGCATAGCGTATGATGGTTCTTTCTTCCTGTGGGAAGTTTGTGGACCTTACAGCCCTTTTCCCTCAGTTTTCTCCGTGTCTGGCTCGATGACGTCACTTTCGAGAAGCGCATTCGTAGTCCTGGACTTATTTCCACACAAAACCTAAAACTGCGTTTCCCCCTGATCGAAAATAAGCGCGTTCTGGGGTATCAAAATGCTTCTTTAAAATTCATGGACATCATATGTGAAATCCGTGGCACAAAACAAGCGGAATTAGAAAATAGCATTTTTAGCCCCGTTGCCTTGCATTCATTTTTTCGTTCTTCCGGGGACCCATGGTCCTGAAGTAGATTGGCGTGACTTAGGCTCCCTATTCTCTTTTAGTTGTTGAATATGTTCCGTCATCCTAACATCAGGTACCTTTTGATCTGAGGAGACTGACAGTGTCTGCAGGCGCGCCGTCATCAGTGCCAGACTTTGCTCAAATGCTGCTACCAGATTGGCCTACAGCAGAGAAAACAGGAGATAAGCAAACAAAACAAAACTTTATGTGTGTGTGGACAGAGGACACTACACAGCTATGAGTCACAAGGGGAACATTTGTAACAAATTAGAGCACAGAGACTGTAGCTGGAATACTCCAAATACCCCTTTGGCCTTTACTGATGTAAACATAAATAAATAAATAACTTAGAAAGTGTTAAACAGGATTACATTCCACATAAAAACTGTGTCAAGGCTTAATCCATTGTTTTTGGTAAATAAATGGTATCATATCTAAGGTGAAAAGTAAGTTTTCAATTCTTTACTTATATGACTTGTGTATAAAAACACAAACTTTTAACTTTAAGTAGATTTGTATTGTTTGTGTACATTTTATTTGAATTTTGAATATTTTATATGACAAAAGTTGTACAGAAGCAGCCCTGGTAGCATCGCCCTTTTCACAACAATGGAAGAAAGAGAGGAGAGATTTGCGCCCACATAGTAAAACAAGTCTGATGTTATTAGCGTGCAAGGAATTCCCAACATGAGTTTCACTAAAATAATAAAGGCTGCAACAGCTCTGGGTAACATGTCACTGTCACAACCCCAACACAAATGATAGCGCTGATGACACAATAACCTCACGTCACACTAACAAACCTGGCCTAGCTGCTACACCCAGCATCCAGAGGTGTGGGTCAGTGGGCGGCAGGCAGGGGGCAGCAGTGAGTCCAGCCAAGAGCGCAAAGAGAGGGACAGTTGTGTTAGGATTAGGAAAATAAAAAGATATTTATATTTAACATCCAACACAAACAAGTGGGCTTCACACACTCACGATGATCAAAACACAAACAGCAAAACAATTCTGCAAATATGTGAAGGAAGGCTGTTATTGGATCCGTGGATGCTGAGACAGGGTGGAAATAGAGTCAAACTCATGCAGCAATATGTGGTTAAATAATTAGAAGAAGCAGGGACGAGAATGTCTTCAGCTACAGGTAGTTAAAAACAAAAGAAAGTAAATAAATAGGTTTAAGATTACAAGGGCACCAAAGTGTTTAACACAGATACATCTGAGTAACAGAGAGAGAGAAGATGAAAATATAGTGTCAGAATATTCAGTTAACTGGTGTAAACTGGTTGTTTTTATTTTTTATTAAAGCAGAAATACAACGTTTTCTCAGAGGGCTTCATCTAGAGACGGAAAAATGTATCGCATCTTAAGCCCCACTCCCTATTTCTGTTATTGTAACTAGAAGCAATACTTATGTTTGCGTTTATTTATTTGGTAGGTGCTTTTATCCAAAGCGACGTAAAATTTTTCACCTATAGGGCATGTTGTGATATGTGGGGGAAACCGGAGTACCCGGAGGAAACCCACGCATGCATGAGGAGAACACGCAACTTCACGCAGAAAGGCTGCAGCTGAGATTCACACCTGCAACCTGCTTGCTGCAAGGCAAAAGTGCTAACAACTATGCCGCCCATTCACAAAGAGCTAAAATATCATTTTACAATCATTATTCTCACATTATGCTTCTTACCCATACAGGTACATCTATTTAAAAACTTGCCTGACATCTGTATGAGGCTAATGCTACTGGCTAATGCTGAGTGGTGCTCAAGTAAAATTGTATGGGGCTCTATGGGACAGGAGGATGTATTGCTTACATTTTATCACAACACTATCATTTAACAGATTTTAAAAAAACTCCTGATTGCTGCTTTAACTATCCACCAGTTACCACCACATAGCTAGTGTCATGTTCCCCATCCATAAGGTATTTCCATTGTTGGAACTGTAGGGTAAATTCTGGGTGGGGGAAACTGAGAGTGAGATACTATGACCCGGTCCTCTCAGCTGTTGGGTCTCCGTACAGCAGGGCCAAAAAGCGTCCACACTAACATTAATAACATTAAAGGCATTTATTCTGTCAAAATATATCACAATCTAATCCGTTAACATTTGTCCCAAAAATGTAAAGTAGAAAGCAAATAAGCACATTTTACACATTTGGTTATGTTGGATTACGATCAGTTCACGTTGTACATTTATCATTAAGAGCTAATCTCTGATACAGAATAGTAAAGCGTCAGCAAAGACACAAACTGAATAAAACATTTACATACGTTGGCAGAAAGCTGCACGGTCAGGTTGGCGACCTTGTCCTGGGAGGATTCCAGCTCTCTCCTCAGTTTGCGGATTTGCTGCAGGAGAAGCACAAATCAAGTTTAGGAGGTTTTAACACCTTTTTCCTTAAATGATACATGTTTATTATTAATGTAATGATGGGCGTTAAGTGCATTCCTTGTCCAACCACAATATGCAATACAGATAAAAAACAAAGGTTATTGCACAAAAACGACGTCAACTAAATGATCGCAGTAAATGCATTCCAAAGCACAAACAGGTTTGAGATTAAAGTTCTTTTATCAGTTTCCTCATGCAGTGAGAGTGTTATGAGGTCTGGCTGTTTGTGTCAAATACGAGACGGGGTATTGAACATCAAACACGAGAGATGAAACGAAATGAACAGAGTTATGAGCCACTGAGATAAAGATCCCTGGTCTTTTTGGAGAGCTGAAAACACCGTCTGATGACTCAACACATTTTAAGATGAATCAGCGTATGATCGATGGCACGACGGCCTTACCTCTCCGTGTATTTTCTCCTCATTCTTTTGAAGCATGGAGACAGCAAAAAGGACAGGATGGAGGGTTAACCCTAACGGCATAAAAGCTATTCAACCACATTAGCAAGGGGGCAATGAGTCCTTTAGACATAAAAAGGTGATAAAATATCTATTGGGATTAGCTAATTATTGATTATTCGCTTATAAATAAAAGAGATACAAAATAAAAATAATAAGCTAAATCTTCCTTATGTCAGTAAGTATTTATGAATATGTGAGTTTGAGAACATGATACAGGGCAAAGTGAAAAATCTTGGTGCTTAAAGTCTAAACTCCATCAAGAGAGTTTATTTTGCTACGTTGACTCACCGCTGAATAGTTGGATGACGCGTTGGATGCCAAGGAGAGAACAGAGCCGTGCACTGGAAAAAAGGTCACATTAAACACGTGAATAGCAAATCTGCTTAATGAATTAAAAACATTTAAATTGTGTTATGGAAAAATGTATGTTTATTAATTCTTGATCATGGACTCAACCAACTGGATGTAATATGTACTGCTCTATGCATCTCTGCATTCTCTCATACACACACACACATTCTTGTATTCATACACACACTGACTCCCTCTCTCACACAATGACCGCACTCCTCCTTTCTTATCTTCCTCTCTATAAATAGTCTGTGAACAGATGTTCGGGGCATTTGCTTCGGCATCTTGCCACAGTTATAACTGTTTGACTTGTCTGCTCATTGCCTCCTTCTCTCCTCACTATAGGTAATGGGTTATTGATAAGCATATTGATAAAATCCACGACATTATTTGGTCCTTTGAGTGGGGGTCCCATCACCTCGCGGCGCCAAGAGCCGACGCTGGAGGACTGTCAATAACCTAAATCTCCTCCAGCGCTGAGTTTGCTGGGGGGTCAGTGAGGCCTTGGCGACATTAGGACTGCAGATCCACGAACTACTCAAGCTGTGAGTGGAGAGAGATTCGGTGAGACAAGTTGTTTTTTTTTTTTTGTCGCTTTGTCTTGTGTTACCGAGAGAAAATCCTAGGTGACCAGGGGTTAAAGTTGGTTTTTGAGCGTTTTGCCGGAAAATATAAACGCAACCAGATTCCTGGAATGCTGTTTTGGTAGAGAATGGACCGGGGTGATAACTGAGGGGTGGCCTAAGTGAGAGGTGGCCTGGCTTTTGAGCGTTTAGCCTCTAATACAAACGCAACTTCGGTTGTCATTCTTGGTTGTGTGGTCAGAGAGAAAGATAAACAGATTCCAGGAATACGCTATTGGCTTGGTTTTCTGCATTTTAGCCAAAATTAGAAATGCAACTCGGGTGTAAGAAATAGATGGTGTCGTCCGCCGTGAATAGGATGGTTTTGTAAACCGGTATGACAACTATTGAGATTCAAATTATGGTGTCGTCCGCCTTGAATAGGGTGGTTTTGACAGGTTCCTTGAATGCTGTAAGGTGGTGTTAACAGATTCTCTGAACGCTGTCTGTATTTGGCTTGGGATTTTGACTGTTAAGTAGGTCCATGGTTGTGAAATTTACCTTGAATAGAAACGTTGTTCTGGTTATCTTGTTGTTGTTGTTTGTTGTGTTGGATGTTGTCTGTTTAAATTGTTGCTTGGATAAATGAGAGAGAGTATGGAAAGCTTTGTACGTGTGGTATCTATGTATGGGGGAAAAAAGAACTCACGAAATAACTTTTGAGTAAATATGGATGAAAGTGAACATCGAGTATATGGTAATATAATATACTTAATCTGGTGATTAAAATAATTTGAACTACAAACTGTGTCGCTTTAGTGGCTGAAAGGGGAAGGGTTTTGGTTAAATCCCTCAATTTGAGACATTAACTATCAGTACCTGGTAGTAAAATAAGTGCCCAAATAAAAAAAGGAAAATGACTGTTGTCACATTGTATTTTATCTCCTTATTTTGTTTTTAAAATCTCTCTCTCTCTCTCTCTCTCTCTCTCTCTCTCTCTCTCTCTCTCTCTCTCTCTCTCTCTCTCTCTCTCTCTCTCTCTCTCTCTCTCTCTCTCTCTCTCTCTCTCTCTCTCTCTCTCTCTCTCTCTCTCTCTCTCTCTCTCTCTCTCTCTCTCTCTCTCTCTCTCTCTCTCTCTCTCTCTCTCTCTCTCTCTCTCTCTCTCTCTCTCTCTCTCTCTCTCTCTCTCTCTCTCTCTCTCTCTCTCTCTCTCTCTCTCTCTCTCTCTCTCTCTCTCCATGCACTTAAATATTAATGTTCTGATTTTATTGAAAAACTTGTTCTGTAATAGTTCCTTTACTATTGTGATCAAAAACATTTAATCTCAACTCTGAGGCTGCTCTGTAAGTAGTTTTCAAATAAACAATACACATAGCAACTTCTGATCAGACTTAAAATAACATATTGGTTAAACTATACCCATTTCCGGGTTAGGCCACGCCCACTCCGAGTACAGATACGGATACAGATAATTTAGATGGTTGAACAGATACAGATACAGATAGTGGTGTACTCGCTCATCCCTACCTGCAACGTTTCGTTTGCGTCAGCCTGACGATGTTTGCAGCCACAAACGAAACATTGCAGGTAAATAAACCTTTCCTGTGTTTTAAAAAGAACCAAAAAATGATTTTTTCTTCATTCTGCTCCTTTTCGTTAAAATTTGATTTTTTGTTATGTATTTCTTATTGTTTATATGTTTTATTTGTTTTTATTTTGAATGAAATATAAAAGAGAAAAAAAATTAACAGTATTTATCTCCTGTTGACACATTTTACACATTATCTGAGTAGCACTGTTGAGTGACATTGCACGTTGTTGATGTGCTCTGAAATGACCTTACCTTACTGAATCTATGTGGATTTGAAATATTATTTTTATAATTAGGACTGGTATCGTTAGTTGATTCCAATGTTAGAAGCAAAGAGATTAAACTATGAAGTCACTAGAGGTGAAAGTTTCTGGCATAATAAGAGTGAACACGTAGACTCTATGATATTTTTGATTTGTTATTAGTTGGGGAAGCTCACAAGCTCTCCCTTTTATTTCCCGGATGGGTTGATTCTTTTGATTTCACTGGATTTAAATTTTTGCCACAGCTCTTTTACTACTGTTTCTCCTGTTACTCCTAGGTGATGTAAATCATTTTTTGTGTTTATTTTCAATTTTCTTTACATGGATTATAGCTTTTTGTTAGTTGTTTAGTTGTTTTGGTTTTTTTTTTATACACACTGTGTTGTACGACTCTGCCCCCTGCTGACGTGATCTAGTGATTGCAAGTTCCTTGGGAATGGGTGTTTGTGTTTGTTTTTTTTTCTCATGTATGTGAGGTCCACTTTTAACATCGGGTAAGCACAAGGCTTGCCAGTATCAGACCCTTTTGTTTATGTTTTGTTTCTGGTGGGCCCTGAGTTGCCTCATACCTCAACAGGAGGGGAGGCTGATAACAATTTCCTCGCATTACTGCACTACCTGGATGGAATTACCTTAAATATTAAATGATTTTTGCTGAAAACAATTCAAAATCAACAGTGATCTCCCAGAATTGTCTTGTGCTTTTTCACCACAGTACGTGAAGCCAGGAAATTGGGTTCTGATGAAGGCGCTGAAGCGAAACAGATGGGGCAGCCAGAGGTCCATTTGAAGTACTCCTCATTACTCCCACCGCTGTGAAGATTGCTGAGAGGCCATCTTGGATTCATCAATCCCATTGCAAGCTTATCAACCAACCGCCACTAGGGCGGCAACAAATTCCAGACTACAAAGGGGTGGGCCACCACTAGGGTGCCGTCTCTCAAACCCGGTGAAGATAAGATCAAGATAAGATAAAGAACTGCTTCGAGCTTGCTGGGTTCACCACATTGTTGATGTTGGTGGTTGCACTCATGGCCCTGCACTTGGGCCGTCTCTCAGCACCTGATGGAACAACTGAGACAGCAGTATTTGAGGGGGTACTAGAACTGGAACTGAAACGACAGATTGGGACTGCCCCTGAGCCCACCTATAGAAAAACGTAACCTGCATCCACCTCAGCTGAAGACCCCTTGGACACAACTACAACAGGCACAGCGAAGAAGAGATGCTCGGAAAGGATCAACTACCTCAAGCACCTGGACCCAAACCTCCAGACTGGTTTCAACCTGTAGGACCTTTTCGAGGACAAGATCAGCTCCCTGACTAGGGCTGCAACAACGAATCGATAAATTCGATAAAAATCGATTACTAAAAGCGTTGGCAACGAATTGCGTCATTGATTCGTTGTGTCGCACAACTCTTCCAAAAGCCCCCGCCCGCCGTTGCGCGCAGACCGGAGCAAGTCAGATCAGCGCGAGGGAGGTGTTTGGAAGAGGAACATGGCAGAAGCAGCGAGACCCAAAAAAGTAAAAACTTCTAAAGTTTGGGAGCATTTTCAGTTAAATCAGGCAAAGACATTCGTTACCTGCAACGCTTGTAGGTCAGACTTAACATGGCACGGGAGTACTGCAGTGATGATGCAGCATCTTAAACGCAAGCATGTCGGAATCATCAGCGAGGAAGGAGAGAGCTCTGTGTCCGGGAAGTTAAAAACTTTTCAAAAGTGATTCACCCAAGCCCCGGATTATTACACAGGCTAGACATGCCCTAAGCTCGTAAGAAAAAGTCTATAAAATCGTAAGCGTGACGCTATTAGATAAACGGGGGGGGGGGACGGGACACACTCGCGCTGCTGCGAACCGGTTCCGCCGTCACATTCCGCAGAAAGTGGTTGATCACACCGGGGCCAGACTACTAGCATGTGGTTTTACAACCACAATGTCCTCGGAAGCGAAAATGCTTTTAAAAGGGAGGGAGGAGTCCTAACTGTTGCTGCAGGCGTGTTGTGTGAGAGTGCAGTTATATACTGGTTAATATATTTTTGGGTTTAGTTGCTTTCATGTGGCCTAATGTGAGCCTATTTGGGATCATTGGAATGATCAGCATCTCTTGATGTGACTTTATGGCAGTTGCCCAGGGCATCATCGCAAGGAGGATGACATTCATTTATTTTTGTTTTATTTGGTATTTTTTCAGTCATTTTTGGAAATAGTGATTAATTTTGATTAATTCACAGCCTATGTTTAATTACATTTAAAAATTAGTTGTTTGACATCCCCAATTATAATAAATGTCTACAGATGAGATCAAACAAAACAGATGAGAATTGCCCTTAAAGAGCAAGTCACCCCAAATAAACTTTTTTTTTGCTGATAAGCTAAATAAACGAGTGTCTAATCGTGCTGCAGACACGTGTCGTCAATAATTTGGCACTTCAGTGCATCTTAGTTAAAATTTAAATATTCTGCCTAAAACTGGCAGTGTTGTGCCGTTGTCAGGTAAAAACTCTGCACTGTATTTTAATTTAAATCTGCCACCGCTATTGGCTAAGAAGTATGCTATGATGTATACTGGTACATTATGATGTCACAATGCTGTCGTGAGCCTGAGTGTGTGTGTATTTGTTAGCGGCTCCGCCCTCTGGGTCTGCCAGGCAACAGCATGTGTTGCATTTTTCAAACATGAAGTGGGAGTGGAGTTAGACTCTGGTAGGGGTTGACTTGCTCTTTAAGCTGTTTAACTTGGACCAAGCATTTTAGGTCACAGATAGGTGTAGCTCAGGGTCTCTGTCTATACACCTTATAAGACAATTTAGGTGATGGCATGTTGTTTTTCTGCTATTGAACTGTTTTCTATTAATGTGTTTAATAAAGTGAAGGAAGGAGAGAAATAACGTTTCCCTAGCAGTTTTTAAAAATGTCCCAATGTAATCCGATTAATCGATTAATCGTGTCGAGACCCCATCCGATTCATCAATTATCCAAATAATCGTTTGTTGCAGCCCTATCCCTGACCATTGGACAACCGCCTCGACACGCCACGGAAGGACCCTGAAGTCTTCCTACTGAGAAGTTGAACTTTGCGCTTCATGCTCCGAACTACATTACTACGCTCCGGACCTGGACATCAAGATACTTATCAACGTAAGACTGAAACCATCCTGATCAACGGGAGAGGACTCTGACTTTCTAACCTATTCTCCAACCAAGACTCCCAGTCTACGGTCAAGCCCTTTGATGATGAACGCCTGGTTTGCCTCAGCTCTGCCATGGTTAGAGCTGCGCAAATTAATATTACACCATCATTTTTCCTCCTTCACTGAAAGATTCGTCTGCACCTTGGAGCTTTGATTTAAATTCACATGATGTTTCAATACACCGAACTGATGTTTTCTGTGTATTATATGGTTTTGCTAACCCTTCCCAATCTCCTTACAGGAACTGCCATAAGTTGTGGAATTGTGCATCACAGTAAATTAGTTTCAATATGTACAGAAAAGTTTTTAAGTTTATAATTGTGTTGATTTAGCTGATTCAATTTTCTATCTCTGTGAACTGCTGACAAATTGTTTTTACAAAAATTCAAGTTTAAAAAAAAAATGATGATCTATCACTAATCTATGAGAAATGTTGGACGTAAAACTCCCAAATCTTCTTGTGACCACTCATTTAAATGGTGATGCAGAACATTAGGAGCTTCAAATTTGTAATTTAGAGGGTGAAAATACTCACCATCCTCCCCTGGTTCCCGGAAAGACCCAGACCGCATCATGCTTTTTGGCCGGTCAGCCAGAGACATACTGCTGCCCAGCGGGGAGGAGCCATACAGATCGCAGGGGGACTCACTGGAGGGGCCCGTGCTGTTGGAGCGTGATAACCTCGGGGTGCCACAGGAAATTGGGGCAACTATCAAACAAAACAAAGTGGTAAACTTAAGCCACACACATACACAATCAGAGCAGTCTAACTGCACAT